GTACTACAACAACTGTCAATGTGTTGTCATTGTGCCTGGAAGAATCAATTTCTGGAGGAAGACTGAGTTTAGCCTCCAAGTCAATTCTAAATATAGTCCTTTGTCCCAGACCAAAAACAAAAATGGAATTTACAATGGTCCTTCCCTCTTTGTCCTTCTCCACCCTCAAGCTGGATCCAGTAAAAATAACTTGTACTGAAATCATGTAAGGCACCTAGCAGCACCAAACTAGAAATTAAAATTGAGTGGCTTTCATAATGACCAGTAAACATTATTCTGTTCATTGAAGCGTAAAGTGGAATAATTCATGTTATAATCAAAGCTGTCACAGCACATTACTAGCAAATTGTGAATCTAGGTTCAGCCACCCACAAATATAAATGGAATTTCTTCCTTATATCAAGACTCCAGTGAATAAACTCCATTTCTGTAGGAGTGGCTGAGGTCATTTACATGTAAAACTTCGACTTTTTACCTACTGAAAAACTAAACAGAAACAATCCACTACAACCTGGGTAGTCTTCAATTGTTTAACAGTGTAGTAATTACTCTAATTATATAAAATTCCATGATGAAGCTGGGAAAGATGTGAGACTTTGGAATATCTGTTCACATTTCCGTTCAAGTGTGAAACATTTGCATACTTAAGGAAATTTAACTGACTGGCTCTACATAATCAGCAGGTCAAGTGCACATTACAGAGGAACAGCCATAATCACGTCTAATAAAAGCTGACAAAATTAATTTTTTGGGGAGTCTTCACTGCTATTGTTATGATTGCAGCTACCCTGGGAGACCTGAACCTAGTTTCACCATATTTTGACAAAATAGCTGCTTCTTTCATTGACTGTTTCTGTAATCACTGCCTTTCCTCTGGTTCTTTAAAAGAGTATTCACAGCACTCACATGTGCTCTTTTACTTTCAATTCTGCACTGATATGAGTATTATGTCTTGTACTCATTCTTTTGTTGCAAAGCCTCTTGCAGCAGCCATGACGTTCAACTTGAGAATCACACATCCCCTCACAGACTTCTCTTAATTTAATGAGCTATCAACATGAAAGGAAGAAATCAGGCCCTGTCTTCAGGGCCCTTAAATTTTTTTTTTCTGAAACAGTTCTGTGGAACACTACAATTACAGTCTCAAGCATTTTTGAAAACAACAGTCAATCATGATTTGTTAGTCCCAGAATGCTGAAACTAATCTAGATGGAATATTTTTACACTTCAATTCTTGGGTTTTTTTCCCCCCACCAATTATGAACTGAAATTAAATTTTAAAAATCTGAAGCTTGGGTACTTCGTTGATGCTTTACATGGGTGTTACACACTGAAAAGAAAAAAAAAAACTAATGTGCTCCTAATTATTACAAGCAGTATTTTAAAATTTTTGAAAGGTCTGAGCTAAAGGTAATTAATGAGAATGAAAATGTTCCAGTAAAAGCAACTCCAGTCAGAAGTGGAAATCTGCCACAAGCAAGGTGTTTCAGGAAGGTTTTTCCAAAGAGAAATAAAGTACTTCAGAAGAAACAAATACAGGAAAAAGCACTAGACTAATTATTCTTGGAGAAAACTGACATAAAGCAGTGCAAGTTTGAACTGCACTTTTATTCATATCTGTATAGACTGAAAAATGCAATTCCAATGGTTTCTCTACATGCCCAGTCCTCATGTTGTGAAAGGATAGGGAACATTAATTCTGCTGTCTTTAATATTCCTCTGATTGTATCACATGGAAAAAAAAAAAACAACACAGAATTTCAAATCAGGACACAAATTTCAGTGTTAGTAAAAATGAATGGGAATCAATTTTGGAACAAAATGTTTTTAATGGTTTCTGTGTATTTCCTTCAGTAACCCTGTCTCTACAGTATGTGAATTCACTCACAGACTGAAAGGGGAACACAAACAAATTTTGGAATAGTGACACGAGCAACTCATAAGGTTTTGATGACGATGCCTGTCAAACAAGCACTCCTTAATGAATGGAAAAAGCCCTCAAAACCAAAAGCAGATACTTTTATTCTATATCTAATGTCATCCAACTATTCTAAGCAGTTCCTAACAAAAACTGCCCAGAAACTATTCCAAATAAAATTAGGTAAACATTGTAAGTGAATTCCTAAGTGGCACTGACTACCAAATAATGTGACACAAAGCAAGTCCTCCAGAGGCAAGTGTCTGGAGTTTTTCAGTGAAACTGTAATACTGTTAACACAGGTTTAGCTGAAATGAATTAAATAGACTCTCAAGCTTGTACCATACATAGCTTTTTTTTTAAAAAAAGTCTCTAGTTCTAAAAACCCAATCAAGCAAACTTCAAGCTCCAACATAACATATGAGCAATACAATTATAATTAATCAGAACAAGCAGCAATTTTTTAACTTTAAAAGCTTAGAGCAAAACTTGATGTTAACTTTTAACTAAATGTAACACGAAAACCCCCAAACCTTACAATTAAAAACAAAAAGGAAGTGGTAGAAAGGTTACAAAGACTACAAAGACAAAAAGTTAGAAATAAGTGCACCCTTCGGCGCGTTGGATCAGAAAGCGGCCGAGGCCATTTCTCCTCACTCCCCTTTCTCTTGCCCCTACTTTTGCCTCACTTTGTTGCTCACACAAGCGCACGAACGGTATCTGCCCCCAAGGGCCTCTCGCAGCCGCGGGTGCGGAGAAAGGCGGGCAACTTTATCAGCTCACTTCGTGCCCGACACTCGGGCCGGGCAGGAGGAGAGAGGGGAGGAGGCGGCGTGCCGGAGCCCCCCCTCAGCGGGAGCCCTGCGGGGGACACGGGGCCAGCGCGGCGCCGGGGCACCGGCCCGGGCCTATCCACCTGCCCGCCCGAGCCGGCCTGCTCCTCGGCGGAGAGGCGGCCGAGCGGCTGCTCCGACCGCAGCACCCGCCCCTCGCAGCCCCTGCCCGCACCCTCCTCCCCGGGAGGGAAACTCATCCTGGGTGTCCGCGCTCCGTGCCGGGGCAGCACCCGGCGGGGCGGCCGCTGCGGCGGGTGCGCCGCACCAGAACGGCCCGCAGCGCCGCCGCGCCGGCCGCACCCCGGCTGTACCGCGGAGCCCCCGCGCCGCCCCGCGCCCTACCAGATCGTAGTCCTCCTCATCATCGCACATGAAATCATCCTCCATGTCAGACATCTTGGCCGGAGGACGGGCGGGGGGCGGCGGCGGGGACGGCCCCTTCTCCCACAACCCCGCGCGGCGCTGCCCAATGTGGCTCCGCTCCGCCCGGAACCTGCTGCCGCCCGCGCCTCTCCCGCCCCCGGCCCGGGGCGCTCGGAGCCCAATCCGCGCCGCCCCGTCGCCGGCTCCCTCCCTCTGGTAGCGACCGGCCCTTGGCAACGGCGGCCGGGCGGGGCCTGGGCACTGCGCGCCGGAACCGCCGGGGCCGGCGCTGCCGCCGCCCGGAGCGCGCCGTGCTGGGGCCGGGCCGCTGCCGTGGGTCCGGCGCCGGCGCTGCCAGCCCGGATCCCCCGCGGAGGCTGCGAGTCTGGTGACTGGCGCGTCTCTGGGAGGGTCGAGGGGAGTGATCCTGCCCCTCTGCTCGGCCCCGATGAGGCCGCATTTAGAGTACTGTGTGCAATTATGACTTACAGTAGAAAAGAGATATCGGACTCCTAGAGCAGGTCCAGCAGAGAGCTAGCAAGCTGGCCAAGAGTCTGGAGTACCTCTCATGAGGAAGGGCTAAGGGAGCTGGGCCTCAAGAAGAGGCAATTGAGGGGGGCTCCTGTGTAAAACGTGGGTGTCAAGAGGGCGGAATTGGGCTGTTCTTTGTGGTGCCATCCCATAGAACAAGGAAGAATGGGCAGAAACTGATGCACAGAAAGGCCAACGTGAGCATGAGGAAGAACTTTACTGTGCAAGTGACCGTGTACTGGAACAGACAGCCCAGAGCGGTTGTGGAGGCTCCCTGGCTGCAGATGTTCCAGAACCATCTGCACACAATCCTGGTCCGTGTGCTCTGGGATGACCCTGCCTGAGCAGGGAGGTTGGACCAGATATGGTCCCTTCCACCCTGACCCGTTCTGTGAAAGCTCAGCCTGTTTCTGTGACCGGCATCACTGTTCAGCTCCCTTTTGCTTTACTGAGTGCCGCTCAACTGTTTACCTGGGCTGCATTCTTCATAAATAAATAATACCAAAGCAGCAGTTTTAAAGGCCTGAATTCTTTAACTCCACAGGCCTTGTAAAGCAATGATTTTATAAAGATTTTTACATGCTAATTTTTGCTGCTGCCTTCAACTGAGTGAGGCAAACCCCCCAACAGACCAGCTCTGCCTTCCCATCTCCTGGGCCTCAGAGACACCCAGATGTATCTGCAATATTTACTAGGTCTCCAGGTTTTCCTGTTGTTGGTCATTTTATACTGTTACGGTTTCTGACAGTGGGGTTTTGGGTTGTTTTTTTCCCCCCTACAGCTACTGACAAGTCTTTTAAAAGCTGTGTTGGTATTCTGCAACTGTACTAAGGGGGAAATAAATATTTTACCTTGGAAAACCCACAATGAGATTTGTTACTGTGCTTCCTTCAGTCTGAGCAGTTAAAGCTCCCTGAATGGGATGAGTAAGATACTGAAATGGACAAAGATATACACCAAAACACTGAGTGAACAGCCTACGAACACTTTTGAAATGCTCAGCTCCTTGCAAGTGTCTGTAGCCATTAATCGGAGGGTAACAGGAGCCACGAGGCTGCCTGTTGGGAGGGGAGCTGGAGGAACCACACACCGCAAAAAACACGGGGACAGAGACACCCACCCCTCCACGCCATCAGGGATGCGCCTGTCCATTTATTATTTTCACTGCACGTGCATTTTTGCAGGAGCATGGGCAGGAACACCGGAAAACCCCAAACATTTCTCTGGCACGCCGCAGCAGCTCCCCGGTCCCAGCTGGGCTGCGGCGGGCACGGGGCCGAGGGCAGAGCGGCTCCCGGGCCGAGCGGGCCGCGGGTGCCCGGGCCCAGCACGGCCGGCGGGGCGGGACGGGGCCGGGCCGCCGGCGCTGCCGCCCGGAAGGACGCGGCGTTCGCGGGCCCCGTGACCGCGGTGGAGCCGCCATGGCGGGGGACAGCCCCAGCGCTCTCCCGGTGCAGCTGGTGGAGCAGCCCAGGTGGGTGGGTCGCTCCCCGACCCCGCCGCCGCGAATCCCGGGGCGGGTGGGCGGTCTGCGGGCGGCCGGCGGAGGTGGGAGGACGGGTGGGAAAGCCCGTCCTCATGCTCCGGGCTGAGGTGCGAGGAGGCGTGGACACGTAACGTCCACACTCCGTAGGTTTTTCCCTGACACGAGCGAAGTCTGCCCGGGCTCCGGCCCCTTCTCCCACCCACAGCATCCCGGCCCGCCCTGACGCCTCTCGCAGGGTGGCGCTGGGGCAGCAGGAGCAATCGTTCATTCATTCATTCATTCATTTATTCATCCATCATTTCGCCTACATCATTTTCCCCAGAGTTTTTGGGGAATGCTGATTATTCTCTCGTCCTTTTTGCTGTAAAAGGCCCTGGAGCAGCGCTGGCCTGGCCCGTCCCATGGAGCTGCGCTCGGTGTGTGCAGTCAGCACGCACACAGACGAACCTCTGTGCCTGCCTTAGCGCTGCGCTGCGGGCACTTCTTAAAACACCGGCTACTTCATACGATTGCACCGCAAATCCCGCGGAAACGACAAGTCCGGCATTTCCAGACTTGGAAGTGTGAAGTTGTGAGGAGTGCCTCTTTGCTTTAAGGCTCCTGACAATTTTCTTCTCGATGTAGGTGCTTGAAATGCAGTGTGCGTCTTGCAACATCAAGGCCACAGCCTGTAAATAGCCTTTCATCACGCCTGCTTGTAAAACCCACATTAAAAAAAGAGATCAATCAGCACTTAGATAAACATGCCCTCATGACTGCTTTGTTTGTTGTCTCTTGGTACCAACGCTACTATAAAAATATCTGTGAAACAAAGCAACATTCTAAATACTGACACAAAATGGAATAAAGTTAACACCTAGAATTCTGCCAACAGATTCCCCGGTGGACTATAATATTATTAATGCAATCTAGAGAAGGGATTGAACAATGAAATGGCAGAAATTGCTTTTGCTAATTGGTGGATGAGCGATATACCAGTCAATACTAGGGGAGATTATAAGGAGAAATCATAGACCTAATACAGCTTTGTAACTGGGCACAAAGATAGAAAGGTACTGAAAGATCTATTAAAAAATAAAATACCACCACAAATTTAATTTTTTAGCTTTCCATTTATAAAAACCTTATGAAACATTTGCATACATGTAGCTGAACAGTAACACAAAGATGTAGAAACTAAGTAATTGTGGAATTTTCTAACATCTGTTTCTTGTTGCAGTCTTCTTCCACTTTGCATTAAGTAGGCTTCCAGTTCTAGATTTAGATTAAATGTAGAAACCTTATCAGGGTTCCTATTATCAGATTTTTGTCAGTAGACTAAAATTTTGCTTTAAGGTAGTTTCAAAATGAATTACTATCAAGTTTCCTATGCTTCACTAAAATAAATGGCTTCATCTGTTCTCAGCCCTCGTTTTCCTGCTGTTCTGCATGACACACTAAAGTATTCCAACTTTGCAAACATCAGGCAGAAGGTTGGTACCTTTACAGTTGCAGGAAGTAAAGCAATATGACAAAGTTTATTTGCTTTGAACTTTCAGTAGCACATCAGGCACCTCTAAATGGAAAACCTGAAGTACTTCTGCTGGAATCCTGTGGAGTAAATGCTGTCATAATTCATGGGGATAATCTGACTATAATGTATTTATACAAAGATGGGGTAGTGCCAGATATGAAAATTAATAAAAATCAAAATCTAAGTAGAGTCTTCAATGTTATATGAAGAGCAGAAATAACCAGTTTAATGTTACTCCTGATGTAGTACAGAAAATTCCACATACTTCAGGAAGCTGAATTGAATTTTCTTCAAGAAGCATTGAAGCTTCCTGTCTTTTATGCAAATATAGTCCTTCTAAATGTTTCTAACCTGCCTTTCAGATTGCAGAAACTGAAGGAGATGTTTATATCCAAGTTTGGATCAGCTCCCAAGTTTTATGCTCGTGCACCAGGACGAGTCAACTTAATAGGTAAAAGAGAAAAATTAACCTTACAGTGTTTTACTTCATCTGTCATCATGGAAATCTAGTAGTTTAAAACACAGAATGAAAATGCTCATCTTAATTTTATTTTTCAAAGAAGTTTCTTTTGATAAATGGAAAATCATATATAATTTAGTAGATTTTACAGTATCTTATTATAAACAACTCTACATGGATATCAGTTTTGGAGAAAAACATTTATAGACAGTAGTGATGATTTTGAAAATTGGAGTAACTTGCCAACTTTTTTTTTTTAAATTAATTAAAGTTACCAAATATAACCAGTCCCACAACAATATACATGATAAAGCATGAAATTATTCTACCATCATCTTTTGTTTACTCTTCCACAGAGATGTGTCCGCAGAACTTAAAATAGTGGGTGTGATTCACTGGCAGAATGGAGAGTCACAATTATTTTGTGTTTAGGACTTACTTTTATTTCTGTAGCAGCCTTATTTTTTAGATTCCTCTGTCTGCGTTAGGATTGTGTTCTCCCTGGAGCTCAGTTTCTTGCATATGTTCATAAAATAACCCTACACATTTGAAGACGTAGTAAAAGGATCTTGAGAAACAGAGCTGTAAAAGTCAATTAGTTTATTATGCAGTTAATGTTAATTTTTATATCAGTGTTATGTGAACATCTCACATAGACTAACGAGCATGTGGTAACTGGGAATTATTCCCAAGGGAGAGGATGTTTACTACATACATTTTCTATTTGATTGTATTAATGATTATTTAAATATAGTAGTTATCTTCTTGAAACAAGGTCCAGAAATTGTATGCACATGACAGTTCTCATCCTTGGGCAGTAATCTACATGGTGGGGGTTTTTTATAATTTTTGTAAGTCAGTGTTAAAATATGACCATTTATAAACAGGCAGTAGATAAAAATCACTAAAGAAAGAAAAACTTTTTGTGAAGTAATAAGAAATGGAGGAAATGTGCCCCAAACTTTAGGTAATAAGAGTTGAAACTACAGTAAGAAATTGTCTCATCCAGTAAAGAACACTGAAGCCCTGTAGAAATCGTGTTATTGCTATTCTAGAAAGAATTATTGCAAAGTATTTTCTTTGTTTCTTTGTTAGGAGAACACATAGATTATTGTGGCTATGCTGTGCTCCCAATGGCTATAGAACAAGATATCCTGATTGCAGTAGAACCTGTGCAAACTCAAGTTGTGCAACTGGCAAATACCAATTCTTCGTACTTGTACGTAATTACTTTTTTATTAATTATTTTTATGAACCTCTTCATGCATTGCAATACAGTTTACCTTTTCAGAGATCTGACAGACTTCCATTGCAATACAGAGTCTGATCGTGTAAAACAATTTATATCAGCAGATGGAATCCCTGACTCCATGCCGTGTCTGTTAGTTCAGAGCAATAGCTTTGCAGCTGCTGTCCCCCACCTGTTTGTCCATATTACTCTGTAAGGCCTCTGATTTTTCAATCCTTTTAAAATTCTGCAATTCTGTCCTTCCTTCTTTTATGTCATCTTTCTCGATATAATCCCCATAATTGGCAGCAGCTCCATGTCCCCTAGAGAAGGGAGTGGAATGTTTTGTAATCAATTACTGCCAAAGTAAGGTAACACTCCCCTGCTCTGGAGAACCTGGGCCTGTGTTTTCACAGCACAACAGCTTTACCAACAATCCTGGCTCAAAAAAAATCTGTATTCCCTTGCTTCCACTTCTTCCACAGCTGTTGTTCACAGAATTATAGGGCAATTTAGGTTGGAAGGGACCTTTGAAGATCCCTTGTAAATAATCTTGTTGACCTTCTCCTGAACTCCATGCCAATGTCTTTCATGTATTGGGAAACCCCAAAACTGGATGCAATATTCCACTATGGTCTCACAAGTGCTGAACATAGGGAAATAATCCTGCCACTCTTTTCAACTTCAGGCACGTTTTTCTGCCTCTTTGTAACAGGCTGATATTTGTGTAGTTGCATGGCAGTTCAAATCAGGTCACTCACCCACATGAGCTTTTGTGGACATTTTGCAAAAATCAGAATCAGCAAAAGCTTAGTTTAAGCCATTTTTATTGAGCCATTGCTTTAATTGGTAAATTAGTTCCTGAAAGCACAGTGTGTGGCAGCACAGGGACAGGAACATAATGTCAAAAGTGGGAAATACTTGCACACATACTCCTGCTTAAAGCTCAGTTTGTTATAAACACATTCTGAACTGCTGCCTGTGACTAAGATAGTTGAAAAGAATTTGTACTTCCATGCTAAGTATAAATACCCTGAGATTTTTCACTTGTGGAGTATGTTTTCACATTACAGCTGGGCTGAATTAAGATGTTTGCCACTGCCAAAGGCAATGGCTTGGCTTCTTTTACCCCTCGTCTCCCTGTACCTGCTTCGAAGATCAACTCAGCCTCTGCCTTTTAGCAGGTGTAGAGTACTTGTTTGATCTTAAGGTGAAGTGCACTATTCCCCCACTTTTTGCTTGGATAATTTTCTGTCATTTTAGTGAACTGCCATGCACCCAGCACTAAAGCTGAGTTGGGGTTAATAGTGGGAGCAAGCAGTGGTGGTGAACAGGGAAGGGAAATGGAAGATGTGTGGGACCTTTCCCTTTCTTCAACAGCAACCTCCCACCAGGGCTTAAGCTGTGTTGCAAAACCATTCTGCAAGAGACAATAGCTTCAGAATTACAATAGTTTTGATTAGGAAAAGTTGTTATAATGAACACTAAATAAAGCAGTAATAAAAAGGTAAATATTTTCACTTGGTCTTCAAGCTTTGCTGCATTATCTTGCAATTCAGGACAGTTCCACAAAATGTAGAATTACAGCCTTTGAATTTAAATTGCACACACTGTCACTATATTTTTACATCTGCCCTGGTTTCAGTTTAAAATCATATGCTTCAAACCATAAACCAAGAAAAGATCTCAGAACACAGCATTAAGCATCTTGGTTTTGTTGAGACACTGTTGCTTAAAAACAAAGCTAAAACATGTCCATAATTTCATAACAAAGAAATCTTTTTCAACACTTTGAATGTTACACCACATAACAAAACTGATGACAGTGTGTCTTTTTTTCCCAGCCTGTTGCACTGGTAGATTTATGCCTGTGGTGAATGTGTATCTATAGGCCTTTGGTGAACAAGGACTAACCAGAATCCTCTGTAGAATTACTATTTCCTATTTCATTCTTATTTTGTGAACTGGTAAACTGTGGAACAGTTCTGTAGCACTCTTCCACCCTGATAGTTCACGTTAACTTTCAGTAGAAATAGAACAGAGAACAGGTTGCTAGAAAAACCACCTGTTTGTTTTTTATCATAAATTATCTCAACTGATCTGATGCCTTTTATGTTATTGGGACTAAAAAGGTATTCAAAACTTACATTCTTTTGAAGTTCTTGATACCTCCCCTTCACAAGACATGTTTGTAATTGAGAAGTATGTGTAGAGAGAATAACTGACATTATACTTCTCAAAGTGCCTTCAGAAGTACCAGAGGATGGTAATTACCAATCAGTTTCCATCTCACGACAAAACCTGAAAGTTTTGTTTGTTTGTTTTTAAATCAGGGTATTTGTACAGAAGACTCAAACAGATAAACTAACAGACTGACAAGACAATAAGGTTCTGTGAGAAAGAGCCAAATTGATCTCCCAAAAATAAGTATTATTTACTATTCAAGCAGTAAAAACCAGTCACACGACTTAAAAATCCCATCTCTTCTAATTATACAGAAAAACTGAAGTTTTTATGTCTGGTTATGGAGAACTGGCAGTTTTTCCCCAAGCATTCTTTAAAACAGAAAGGCTGGAACAGACAATATCAGTGTATTTTTATTTCATGGGTATGTTTTTCCCAATATTTTATTTATTTTTTTATAAAGTTCTTATATTAAAATGCCTAATTTTCAGTAGGAGGTTCAAAGGCAAGCCTGATGATTTACTGATTTAAGATAAGGCTTGGATATTTAGGAACTGTTTTTTATAAAAAACTGAATGAAAAAATAGACTTAAGTATTCTGGGGATTTTGACAGTCCCACATTCTGTGTTTGTGTGAATTATGTCCTTATAAAACCTGCCAAAATCAAAGCCATTTTTTTTCTTCCATTTTCTATGTAAGAAGATTGCAAAAAATAGCAAAATGCATTTTAAGAAGTCATTATTTTAATTTATCTTGAGAACCAGCAAATATATAATCATAATATGTGTCTTCATGTTCATTGAAATTTTTCTCTGAGAGGGTAAAATAAATTATGAAGATAAAATATTTTAGAATTCTTTGAGGCAAAGAAGATTTAAGATTCCTTTTCTCTTAGTCACTTTCACACATTGCTTTCCACCAGCCTTGTTTCTTACAACAATAATTTAGGATTATTTTAGGAAGCAAGAATAAACAAACACAGAATTTTAAAATCTTCATTACTTATGACAAGTATTTTCTATTTTACAAATACCTCGTAGGGGGTTTATTTTATTCAAAAACCATAAGCAAGTTGATGTTTTATTTTCTTGGAGATCATTCTAAATACACATGAATCTCAAACTGGGAGAATTTACAGCCATTCTCAAACTTTCCTAGTACTCTAAGCTCAGTACTCCCTTTCATATCTTTTGTGTTCCTGAGCAAAACCTAGTAATTTCTTACTCTAGCTTTGTGCAATTCTTGCTGCTGCACTGCTGATAAAATCCTGTTTGTGGCACTAAGATAGCAGCTTACACATTAAACTGTACAGCAACCTGATGGATTTGCTCTGTGATTAAGGTTGAACTTGAATGTGTAACTGGCAAAATGAGAATTCTGAGGTGATAGTCCAAGTGCCAGATGTGTCATGCCATGGAGCTGGGAATGGGCTGGGAGCACAAGTGGAGATCCTCTCTGCAGAGGGGCAGGCAACAGACCAGATGAATTCTGCTGCCACTGCAACACTGCTTGTTGCCTTGGGGGTTTGCATGACACAAAAATTGCAGCCTCTAATGCACCAGAATAAAATGAGCTTTTCAGACATTGCTTGAATACAGTTATATCATGGATGCTTTATATTTGTACAACTTTTTCTCCATAGGTAACAGAATAATTAACTGATAAAACCATATTTTCACTGGTATCCATCACAAGTATTGATCAGTGATGTCCTTTTGGACAAAAATAAGCCCAGGAAATCAACAATCTATGTAGTTTACTAGGACCAGTGTAAAAAGGAAAAATTCCATCCTTTTAGGAGTTGCAGACTGTCCCCTGAAGTATTATTTCTTGAAAATGGTTTTATTCCTGTTAAATATTTCCAGGAATTAAATTAAATATTTCCAGCTGCCTCTGTTCATATATTTTAGCAGACCTTGCCTTGTAGAGCACACCTTAGTCTGGAACTTTTGAATATTTTTAATTTGATTTCTTGCTGTTCTCAGTGCCTCTGCTGTTTCTGTGTTGGGCACCTGCTGTCACAACATCAAGCAAATGAAGTTCCTGGGTGTTCAAGGGTACAGAAGGGTACAGACTGCCAAACAACTTGCACCTCCCTGAGGCCTCTGTGTGTCACCTATGCCCATTCTGACAGCACCTGGCTGTTCTTTAGGAACATTCAAGCTCAGTATTTTTAGTAACTTGAAAGAAATATGGAGTAGGAGGAAACAGATAAAATATTTAAACTAAATATTTTTGTCTTGTAACATACATAATATAATTCTGGAGCATTAGGCTTGTTTTTGTGAAGTGCCATTGAGAGCAAAGGTAATGAAGATTAAATCCTGAGCAGGAATTACCAGAGAGCCTGAAGTTTATCTGTCTCTAGTCATGGTTTGACAGATATGACTATTTGAATTTCCACTTCTAAAAAGTAATGATAACATACACATACATGATAGGAGGCATCCTGCCTTAATTAAGGATGTCAAAGGCAGCTTAATTTCTGGATTTATTTAATATATTCTTTATACTTACTCAAGAATTCTTATGCTTTCATCTAAAATAACCATATAGAAATGATTACTAAAGAAGATATGTAAAAAGATCAAACAAGAAACCAAGCCAGAGAACATTGCACTGAAAACCATCAAACCAGTTTTGTCCATCAGCAGGTGGCAGTAACAAGCCATGTTTTTTCAAACTAAATTTAATACAAATTAAAGCCTTAAGGTTTTTCTGTTTTTGCAGGGATTTCAGTACTAGTGTTAATAACATTCAGATTAACAAAACCAAACCTCAGTGGCATAACTACTTCCTGTGTGGACTGAAGGGTATTCAGGTAAGCCAAATCCATTTAATTTATGAAATTAATGTAGAAGGAAAATACAACAAGAATACCTATTTACTCTCTAAATGTTGCCCTACATTCTATAGCTTTTTTTTAATATAAAGTTAAATATTTTTATGTTAAAACTTGAAGAGGAAATATGAGTGGGTTTTCTTTAAAATATTGGCAGAGCATATTTTCATCTCTGTAAAACAAATTACAATAGCAAATAATTGCTTCGGAAAGTCGTGATCAAACATTATCAGGATGACATTTCTGTATTTTGAGGTAAAAAGGAATGCTTTCCAATGGAATTATTTAATTAAAATCTGCTTTGAAAAAGGTTTGGAGGTTGTTGTTTTGTTTTTTTTTCAGGACATAAAGATCATATCTTAACTCCTTTCTATGGAAGCATTTAAAAAACATGGACCTTCATTAAAGTTGAAAACCTGTAATTTGCGCACAGCAGCTGAGTGAAGCTGACTCATGCAGTAGGCAAAAGAAAATGCAAAAGCCAAGTAAACAGCATACAGAAGAAACAATCCATTAAGAACCATTACTCATCCCGGTTTTCAGGGTTTGGAATTTGAATGGGATTTTCAGAATGTCCTGAGTTCAAAGTGCAGCTGTGCAGGAGGGGGCACACTTACGGAAAAGGCGGGAGCTCAACCTCCCAGACCTTTTCCTGTCTGCCCTCTCCCTGGGGAGCTCCCCTCTCCAGGCTGGCCTGAAAACCCAGCTCTTGTGAAAACAAGTGCTGGTCACCAGGGCTGCCCTGGGAGGCAGCCTCAGCTCACCATCGAGGATCCTGCAAATCTCACCTGCTGTTTGCAGGTGACGCACAGAATTCACAGAATTCATGGCTCTTTGAGGGCAGAAATAAAAGTGTTTTCTCTGCTCAATGTTAATCTAATGATATTTCTGGAAGGGCAGATGGGATAAACAGTGATGGCAAGTCAGGAACAGGTCACCACAGCCAGCCCAAATTATGAGTAAATGTGCTTTTTAAAGCACATGAAGTTTGCCTCAGGATAGGCCATCTAGGTCACCCCACAGGAGGATCCAATAGATGAGGACTGCAGACTGCTGAAAAGCCAGCTCAGACCTGCCACTGGAGGCTTCAAAATAACAATATTCAGAACAATCAGTGCCACAAATCACTTTATTACAATTCACAGGTCCTAAACTGCCCCCTGCTCCTATGCATAGACCCAAATAAATAACTTATGTGTGTAGTAACATGAGTATTTTCAATTTTGCATTGCTCAGTAATATGGGCATTTAAATTGCACTGACTGTAGAGATATAGATTAGGTTTCTTTACAATATATCCTTTCTTATATTAAGGCTTGCATGACCAATTGCCTTTATTTATTTTGCAGTCTGCTACTGAGATCTGTTTCCTAAGGATAAGCTTTCATATTTGAAGGTTAATTTGCAAAGCAGGTTTGCAGACTCTAGTACTGGCAGAAAATAAGCATAAATGTTACAGACTTAAGAAACTCTGAAATACAAGTACTCAGAGGGTCCAGCGGGATAATCTGTTTATATTAAGTTGAACATGCTATCCTTTTGGGACAGAACTGTTGCAGAACTTGGCAAAGTCCATTTTCATTTTTGAAACTGAAGTACGTTTTCTATTTAAACATCGCGTGATAAGTCTGCAAGCCTGATTCACATTCAAGACGATCCAGAAACTGTGGATCAGTTTCTGGTTACTCAGGCATTTTCTGTTTATGAACAAGCCTGTCTAGTGTTCTTCATGAAGGGGCATGGGCAGCAACAGTATTCTAGATATGAATTTCCTTTATTTGTGAAACGGGAAATTCAAAATATAATTTGAAGTGATGGTAGAAGACTTTAAAGGAGGCTCTTTGTGTTTGCTGATCTCAACCATTGGTATTTATGGTTGAAGTTGTTTCAGGAGAAGTAGTAGAAATCTTTTCAAGGTGGACATTTCTTGATGAAAATACTGTTATTTTTCTGATTATTTGCCCTGTAACAGTTTCTTGACATATACATTGCATCAGAAGTTAGCTATTCATATACCCCTCATATACAGTCAATGATTTTTTAATAAGTACTGCATGTTTGTTTCAAACTAATAGCAGAGAGAAATTTATATAAAAGTGATTATAAATAAAAAGACAAAGCAACTAAAGAATATTTAAAAGAGTATGTACATGAGGATATATGACTTCTGGATAAAATGTATTATCTGTGGTATCTATCATGTGTGTTAGAATATTTTAAACTTCATTCAAAAAATAGCATGCCAGAGACCATCCCCACTGGTAGGTGTGTCTTTGTGACCCTAAAGCACAGAGTTCCTTAAGTACCATTGTGGTTTTCCCAGTGTCAGTCCTGTGGGTGCTTCAGGACACGAGGATCTGCTTTGAAAACAGCTGCATGGCTACTGGTTCCCCCTCAGTGTCATGTGGCTCCTAACAGCACGTGCCAGCCTTGGAAGGGAAGCATAAAGTGGACCTTGAGCTCTTTGTGGTGCCTAAATGAAGAGCTGTCGAGAAAAGGACAACAGTGGGGTATGAAAGGATTGGTAACTTCGCACTGTCCCCACAGCAGCTCAAAGCAGAGCCAGTTGCTGCAAAACCCACCCACGAAGCTTGGTAAATTCTTGGGCGTGCAGCCCATCCTGAGTTCTGCTTGGGGTAGTTATATGTTTGTGCACAGCCATTGCAGACATACCTTTGGCTGAAGCCCCATCATTGGCTTTGTTCTTAAGGAACAGAATGAAAATTTTGCTTTTGCTTTATTTTGGAGATACCAGAAGCAGGTCCTTGCTTCCAGCAACTCAGCAGAAGGATTCTCTTTCTAAGTATCAGATAATTGCAAGCCTGAGCCTGTCTGTACTTGAAACTAAGATTGTTTATTTTTTCATTGTTAGGAACATTTTGGTCTCAATAACCCAACTGGAATGAATTGTCTGCTAGATGGAACCATCCCTCCAAGTTCTGGTCTCTCTAGCTCCAGTGCTTTGGTGTGCTGTGCAGGACTCGTGACACTCAGAGCTAATGGAAAAACCCTCTCTAAGGTAATTTACTGTAAAACACGAGAGTGTCAGCAGTAAAATTCTACTTAAAATTAAATATTGTTAATGCCTGTAAACATTAAAAACACGATACAATTGTTTTTGCAAAGAGTTGTTGGATATAAACTTAAGATATTGCACAATCGAGCAAACATCCTTGGCCCAATTTTGGCAGGATTTGAATTTGGCAAGAAAACAGGCTTACATTAAAGCTGAAAAAAGGAGCATTATTGTAAGCCTGTATTTTGGCCAACCATCAGGTCCATGCCTGGACCAGATGTGCTATCTGCAGGCCAGGGCTGAGGATATATGTGCTGAAGCATGTGGACCACACCCCCGAGGCCTTTACTCTCTCCCTGAATGACTTTTCATGGCTTTAACAACAGAGCATCTGTTGGAGGCCTGTGGAACAATTTCTTGATAAATTATGTAATCAGCACAAAGTAGAGGTAAAATTCTTCCATCTGACTCTCCTTATTCTCTTCACAGTTTTTTTGGAACACATATTTACAATCCAAAATGTATTCCTCACTTTTAAACAAACATTAGTCTAAAAACAAACCCCAAGTATGTGACCTGTTAGCAGTACAACTGTTAGCACTGTTTGGCTTGTGTAATACAGATTTCTGGAGGAGTCATGGTCCTTGAAGGTGCCATATGGGAATGAAATTCTCTCCATTAAAAATGTCTGGTTAAGTGAAACTAGGATCTTAAATTAGAACATTGTCAGGAAGAGAAAAGAACAGATCTAAATGTGACTGTTACACATATTTGTGCCTATTGTCTAAGACAGACATTCCCAAATTGTGGTACAAAGCCAACTGAAAGTGGCACATGATGATGGCAGCTGTTAACTCTGCTTGTAACAAGCACTTCTGTGAGCCATGAGGTGAACAGATCCACACAGAAGGTTTTTGCTGGTCTGTTGAGATTTGCTTTTCTATGAGGCTGCAGTTGCAGGAATGCTCTCAGCAGTGAGGGCACAATCCCACATTGCCCAGCTCCCAGGGCTGGCTTCAGGGGCATCAGGCAGGGCTGAGGCAGAAGGGAGCAGGGTTGGAGAGGCAGAGAAGCTTTTTATATAGGAGAATGTGGCTAATGTCACCCTGACTGGTGTTGGTGTCTGATCAAAAGTCAGTAAGGGATTGGACACCATAAGAGAGGCTCTGGTTTGGGAGGTGAGATGCGTAAAGCAATGGTAGATGAAAACATGGAATGGGGGATCCTTCTTGGATGAGTGAGACTGCAGTTAAAGGGTTGGAGGTGACTGAATGTGTACCTGGCCTGACAAGAAGCTTCTGGTTTTGCATAGATGGTCCTACCACAAGTCAGCACTGTCTCTGATGGTGGTCACCTCAAGAGCAAAGTTTGGGAACAGCTGATCAAAATCACTGGAGGGCATGTGTTCAGAAATTTGGTATCTTCACAAGCATAAAACTGACAGAGGTCAGAAAGCCCACACTTTACTAGGTAGTAAAAATCTCTATCTGGAAAACCAGGACCAGGTTTTCATTATTCCAATTCTGCACAGTGTTCTTCAGAGAATAAATGGTACAGTGTGTATCTTGAGCTGAATCTACACGTGGCTTGGGAGTACCAGCCGGCATTATGCCAGACTTGTCGTAAAGAAAGGTGGAAAACTCCTTCTGTCATTTTCATAGAAAATTATGGAAGAACAGAAGGACGATAGAGTGTCTTTTCTTCTCCTCATGTGTCCTATTCAATCCTCTTCTTGATAGTAGAAAAATGTGCTGAAAGTTAAGCTTGTGTCTGAAATACAGTTGGAAAAACAAGAGACACAATTGCACATTTTTGTCAGGAAACCCTGCTGTTTGCAGCCAGAGATTTTGCACTTATGATGAAAAATGAGCAATTAATGTACAGATGAGGCTTCTCAATAGCCACCATAGGAGCAGTTAAGAACATATCCAAGGTTTTGTATGCTTGCATAAACCAAGGCACCTGGTTGTCATGGTTAGGAGAGAGGGTGACAGCTCTGAAAACAGCTCTGATTGCTTTTGTCCAAGTTTTCCCAAATCTTACAGGACAGTAAAAACTCATTCAGTGTCTTTTGCTAATTTATGATTTACCATTAGAGACTTCTTATATGTAGCTAAATCCAGAGCCTCTGTTGCACTGGGTTTATGCTTAGCCTTGCAGAACTGCCTTGTAAAAGGCAGGACTAGTCTGAGTATAAATTAGAGCAATTTAGGCATGGGAGTCCTCAGCAGTATAAAACGTGCTCTGGCCACTTCTTGCCAGCTCCTAATGCATCCTGTGCTGGTGTCAAATGGGATCTGTGCAGGATCCAGTCCTGCTGGCTCTGTGTCAGCAGGGAGCTCCCCTGTGGCAGGGAAATTCTTAGCTGAGCACGAGTAGGGGCTTTCCAGATCCTTTCTGCTAGAAAGCTAAGCAGGACTGTGCATTTTTAAGGCTCTGGATATTTATGGGTTTATTTTAAATAAGAAATATCACTTTACCCCTCCCATCCATCTTTTTATCCCAAATGCTTTATAGTTGTGAAACTTGTAATTGTAGTATTTATAAGTAACAATATTTGGTTATTATGGTAATTTTATGAGAAAAGATTGACTTTTTGCCCCATACTAGTCTGATGGACTTTGCAAATTCTTAGTGTGATGGTTTGTAGCAGGAAGACAGGAAACTTTTGGCTTTGGAATCAAATTTGGCTTAATCGTAGGGCTTCTGTAGCCAAAGTTATGAAAAAATGACCTTTTACTGAATGGAACATTTATCTGTTTTGTTTCTGTGAAACTATTTTTATGAGAATATTTTAGTTATATGCTCTTTTTCCTGATAAATGTAAGTTTAAAATAGTTGCTGTAGAGTAGAAGTCATTGAAATTTAGAGCTTTTATGAGATAACACTTCCAGTGTAAAGTTCAGGCCTGGGAGATTAAGAGCCAAAACCCCACAAATTAAAAAACATTGTAAAAGCATGGCTAGAATTTCATGGTGGCTAACTTTAAAAATAGTACTTTTTTGACATTGAAAACAAAATCAGAAAAAAACATGCTCTCACTAATTGTGTGTAGCAGTCTGAAACAGGGCATTGTTTCAGTGTGCATACAATATTTTTTTTTTAAAAACCATCATACACATACACAATAGTTAGGAAAATACCAGTTCAAGACAATTCAGCCAGATGTGCAGTGCTAACCAGTTGCAGCAGTGCAATAGCATTCAAATAACAAGATGGAAAATGTAGAATGCGATCTTTAAAAAGAATCCATTTTTCTCCTCCAAACAGGATACCAGTCTAAGGCTGTGTTGGCATCACTCATCAGCAGCAATGCTCAGTAGTAGTAGTAGTTCTTAATTTTAAAGTGATTTTTATTCACTGTTACAAAATCAATCTTTTGTATAACTTTTCATCAGGAGATGATACTTTTTGTAAAGGAAACGTAATAATGCTCTAAACTGTCCCAGCTTTGTGTTCTGTGGTAGGAATTAATGAGTACAGAAAATTACTTAGAACTGAGTAACTAGATTTACTTCAAAGCTGTGATGATAATGTTGTTGTCCAAATGTTAGATCTTGTGAAAGTAAGGTCTGTTCAGCCACCTCAACATTTATTCTGTTACATCAAGGCTGGGTATCTGTGCACATACTTATTGGGAAGAAGAGATGAAAACTGAATAGGGTTTATCTAATTTAATGTGAAATGTTGAGCATAGGAAGGGGAATCATATTTGGCTTTATCTAGACTGAGAAAAAGCTAAGTCAGACAGAGTAAATAAAGGACCTAAACCTCACCTCTAATGGCACAGTGTCCATTGGTTTAACTTTTCCAAAACTATGGCTCAGATGAATTTGAGTGTGGGTGTTAACCATTTTTAAACCGTATTTTACCAGTTACTATACTTGCTACTGTCACTGGTTTCAGTGGGAGAATAGATAGACCATCTGGAATCCTTTCTACTTGGTTTCTGAAGCCTCTGTGTAATAATGAAAGTGCTTGAGTTGAGCCCTTTACCATTCCTAATCCATAGCTGTTTGGCAAGAAAACCTGTGAGTATCCACACTGATAGTGTGACTTTGAAATGAGTAACTTGTGCTGATAATACTCCTTAGGATTGGATTATAATTGATTTTATTTTTAAAAGATTTCTTTGTGTAATTTATTTTATTGATCTATCAAAAATCTTTGATAGATGCATGCTCAGGCTAATTATATGAGGAACAAAATTGTTTACACAAAAAATGGCACATAGATACTGCATTTTAAAGTACTGTTAATACAGAGAAATGCTAAAGTTCCTTTCTCTCTGTGGAATTGAAAAACAGGGTTCTTGTTAAGCTTGACTGTATGTTTGTAATCAAGGGGAAACAGAGTACTTGAGAGCAGTGGTAATCAAAGGCCATAATCTCTCATCAACCTAATTGATAACCTTCTATTTGAGCATGTTAGGGGGCAGACAGAGTCAAGCTAAGATTGCTGTGCTTATGAGGACATCCAGATACTATCTGACAAATATATTCCCATTCTGGAAAAAAGTAAGCATAATTACCTTGCAAAACATATATGAAGTTCAGCTAATTGGAATTTTATGTGCAAACTGGAAGCAGATGGTAACTTTCAGCAACCAATTCCTAGTCAAAATGAACTATTAAAAATAAAGGCATTCCTGGTGGTAAAAATAACCTCAAAAATTTGAGCATCATTTTATACCTTACTAAATGAAACATAGTATTTTATATTTCAGAGATTATTTTTATACCTTTATGCACATATGTATAAAATGTGCACAGATTGGAAAAAAATGACAGTAACTAGAGTTGAAATATATTATATAATGGAGAATATTTCCTTCTTACTGTAAAATACTCATCTTTACCTATAAATGTCTCTTCTGCATTTTCAGTCTTGTGTATTGTGACTTAAACTGTAGAATTTAACAGAAAATCTACACTACATTTGCTATTAAATTACCAACATTATTTGTTGTAAAGGAAAGCAGCAGACTGAGTCTGACTTTTCAG